CGGGAGAGAGAGGACCTACCTGACGGGGAGAGAGGACCTACCTGACGGGGAGAGAGGGACCACCTGACGAGAGAGGACCTACCTGACGGGAGAGAGGACCTACCTGACGGGGAGAGAGACCTACCTGACGGGGAGAGAGAGGACCTACCTACGGGGAGAGGACCTACCTGGGAGAGAGGACCTACCTGACGGGGAGAGAGGACCTACCGGAGGGGGAGAGAGGACCTACCGGACGGAGAGAGAAGGCCCTGACGGGGAGAGAGGACCTACCTGACGGGGAGAGAGGACCTACCTGACGGGAGAGAGGACCACTGACGGGGAGAGAGGACCCACCTGACCGGGAAGAGAGACCTACCTGACGGGGAGAGAGGACCTACCTGACGGGAGAGAGGACCTACCTGACGGGAAGAGAAGGCACCTGACGGGAGAGAGGACCTACTAACGGGGAGAGAGGACCTACCTGACGGGAAGGAGAAGGCCTACCTGACGGGGAGAGAAGGCCCCCTGACGGGGAGAGAGGCCTCCCTGACGGGGAGAGAGGACCCACCTGACGGGGAGAGGACCTACCTGACGGGGAGAGAGGACCTACGGACGGGAAGAGAGGACCTACCTGACGGGGAGAGAGGACCACCTGGACGGGGAGAGAGAGGACCTACCTGACGGGAAGAGAAGGCCTACCGACGGAAGAGAGGACCTACCTAACGGGGAGAGAGGACCTACCTGACGGGAAGAGAAGGCCTACCTGACGGGGAGAGAAGGCCTACCTGTCGGAGACCCAGAACAAAGAAGAATGACAACCTATTTAAGGAATAGGGAGGCCCACCTGATGGAGAAGGAAGATTGATCTAGGGATGGAGGTCGGCTGCTTGACACCGAGGACGTTCCTGGTAAAGCAAAGAAAATGAAGACCTACCTACCAGAGGAGGCGAAGAAGAGGACCCGCCCTACAGAAGCTGAGAAATTACCTGACGAAGTAAAAGGACCCATCTGACTTGGTAAAGATACCCACTAGAAGGATAGAGATGGAGAGGACCACCGACGGAGGGGGAAAACTCACCTGTCAGAAAGGGGAATTCACTTGTCCCAAGAGGATCTATCTGGATCACCTGCCTGACGAAGATGGGACCTACCTGATGAAGGGAGGACCTACCTGACGATGAGAGGACCTGCCTGACGAAGATGGGACCTACCTGACGAAGATGGGACCTACTCGACGAAGATGGGACCTACCTGACGAAGATGGGACCTACCTGACGAAGGAAGGACCTACCTGACGAAGGAGACCTATCTGGACGAAGGGAGGACCTGCCTGACGAAGATAGTGACCTACCTGGAGAAGGAGGACCTACTTGACGATGGGAGGACCTACCTGACAAAGGAGACCTACCGACGATGAGAGGACTACCTGACAAAGGGAGGACCTACCTGACGAGTGAGAGGACCTACCTGACGAGATGAGAGACCTGCCTGACGGGGGAGAGGACCTACCTGACGGGGAGAGAGGACCACCTGACGGGAAGAGAGGACCTACCTGACAGGAAGAGAGGGCCTCCCTGACGGGGAGAGGACCTACCTGACGGGGAGAGAGGACCTACCTGACGGAGGGAAAACTCACCTGTCAGAAGGGGAATTCACTTGGCCCAAGAGGATCTATCTGGATCACCTTCTGACGAAGATGGGACCTACCTGATGAAGGGAGGACCTACCTGACGATGAGAGGACCTGCCTGACGAGACCCACCTGATGAAGGGAGGACCTACCTGACGATGAGAGGACCTGCTTGACGAAGATGGCCCACTGACGATGGGGACCTACCTGATGAAGGAGGACCCACCTGACGATGAGAGGACCTGCCTGACGAGACCTACCTGATGAAGGGAGGACCTACCTGACGATGAGAGGACCTGCTGACGAAGATGGGTACCTGACGAGAGAGGACCTACCTGATGAAGGGAGGACCTACCTGACGATGAGAGGACCTACCTGACGAAGATGGGACCTACCTGATGAAGGAAGGACCTACCTGACGATGAGAGGACCTGCCTGACGAAGATGGGGACCTACCTGACGAAGGAGGACCTACCTGACGAAGGAGGATCTACCTGACGATGAGAGGACCTACTTGACGATGAGAGCGACCTGCCTGACGATGAGAGGACCTGCCTGACGAGACCTACCTGATGAAGGAAGGACCTACCTGACGATGGGAGGACCTGCCTGACGAAGATGGGACCTACCTGACGAAGGAGGACCTACCTGACGAAGGAGACCTGCCTGACGAAGATGGGACCCACCTAACGATGAGAGGACCTGCCTGACGAAGATGGGACCTACTGACGAAGGGAGGACCTGCCTGACGAAGATGGGACCTACCTGACGAAGATGGGACCTACCTGACGAAGATGGGACCTACTGACGAAGGGAGGACCTGCCTGACGAAGGGAGGACCTGCTGACGAAGGAGGACCTGCGACGAGGAGGCTGCCTGACGAAGGAGGACCTGCCTGAAGAAGGGAGGACCTACCTGACGAAGATGGACCTATCTGACGAAGATGGGACCTACCTGACGAAGATGGGACCTACAGATGAAGGAGGACCTACCTGACGAAGGAGGACCTGCTCGACGAAGGAGGACCTGCCTGACGAAGGAGGACCTGCCTGACGAAGGGGACCTGCCTGACGAAGATAGAACCTACCTGATGAAAAATGGGACCTACATGACAAAGGAGGACCTACCTGACGAAGGAGACCTACCGACGAAGGAGGACCTGCCTGACGAAGGAGGACTGCCTGACGAAGATAGGACCTACCTGACGAAGGAAGGACCTATCTGACGAAGGAGGACCTGCCTGACGAAGATGGGACCTACCTGACGAAGAGGATCTTACCTGACAAAGGAGGACCTACTTGACGAGGGGAGGACCTACCTGACGATGAGAGGACCTGCCGATGAAGATGGGACCTACCTGACGAAGGAGAACTGCCTGACGAAGGAGACCTACCTGACGATGAGAGGACCTGCCTGACGAAGATGGGACCACCTGACGAAGATGGGACCTTCCTGACGAAGAGGACCTTCCTGATGAAGGAGGACCTACCTGACGATGAGAGGACCTGCCTGACGAAGATGGGACCTACCTGACGATGAGAGGACCTCCCTGACGAAGATGGACCTACCTGATGAAGGAGGACCCACTGACGAAGGGAGGATCTACCTGACGAAGGGAGGACCTGCCTGACGAAGGAGACCTACTGACGAAAATAGACCTAACTGACGAAGGGAGGACCTACTCTGACGAAGGGAGGACCTACCTGACGAAGGGAGGACCAAACTGACAAAGGATAGACCTAACTGACGAAGGGAGGACCTGCCTGAGGAAGGGAAGACCTACCTGTTGAAGGGAGGACCAAACTGACAAAGGATAGACCTACATGACGAAGGGAAAACCTGCCTGACGAAGGGAGGACCTGCCTGACGAAGGGAGGACCAAACTGACGAAGGATAGACCTACCTGACGAAGGGAAGACCTGCCTGACGAAGGGAGGACCTGCCTGACGAAGGGAGGACCAAACTGACGAAGGATAGACCTACCTGACGAAGGGAGCACCAAACTGACGAAGGATAGACCTACCTGACGAAGGGGGGACCTTCCTGACGAAGGAAGGACCTAACTAACTGAATCCACCTGAAGGAGGGAGGACCTACCTGAAGGAGGGAGGACCTACCAGAAGGAGGAAGGACCTAACTGAGGGAGGGAGGACCTACCTGAAGGAGGAAGGACCTACCTGAAGGAGGAAGGACGTACCTGAAGGAGGGAGGACCTACCTGAAGGAGGGAGGACCTACCTGAAGGAGGGAGGACCTACCTGAAGGAGGAAGGACCTACCTGAAGGAGGGAGGACCTACCTGAAGGAGGAAGGACCTACCTGAAGGAGGGAGGACCTGCCTGAAGGAGGGAGGACCTATCTGAGGGAGGGAGGACCTATCTGAGGGAGGGAGGACCTACCTGAGGGAGGAAGGACCTACCTGAAGGAGGAAGGACGTACCTGAAGGAGGGAGGACCTACCTGAAGGAGGGAGGACCTACCTGAAGGAGGAAGGACCTACCTGAAGGAGGAGACCTACCTGAAGGAGGAAGGACCTACCTGAAGGAGGGAGGACCTACTGAAGGAGGGAGGACCTATCTGAGGGAGGAAGGACCTACTCTGCAGGAGGGAGGACCTACCTGAAGGAGGAAGGACCTACCTGAAGGAGGGAGGACCTACCTGAAGGAGGGAGGACCTACCAGAAGGAGGAAGGACGTACCTGCAGGAGGGAGTACCTACCTGAAGAAGGGAGAACCTACCTGAAGGAGGAAGGACCTACCTGAAGGAGGGAGGACCTACCTGAAGGAGGAAGGACTTACCTGGAGGAGGGAGGACCTACCTGAAGGAGGGAGGACCTACCTGAAGGAGGAAGGACTTACCTGAAGGAGGGAGGACGTACCTGAAGGAGGAAGGATGTACCTGAAGGAGAAAGGACGTACCTGAAGGAGGAAGGACCTACCTGAAGGAGGAAGGACCTACCTGAAGGAGGGAAAGACTGTACCTGAGTCTGGGAGAGGAACTATCTGACCCAGGGTAAGGAGGAGCCACTAAGTGAAGACCTACCTGACGGTGGTGTGAGGTGATCCTGACGAAGTGCCAGTACCCACCTGAGAGTATTGTTACACACACACACACACACACACACACACTTAGAAACGGATTGACCTACGGTACCTGACACAGAAGAAGGATTCATCTGACGGAGGAAATACAATTCATCTGACGGTGAAAGGAGGGAAACCACCTAATGGAAGAGGATCTACCTGACGAAGGAAACAGGCGCCTTCCGAGAGGATGTGGAATACCCATCAGAGAAGAGGAGGAGGAGGGAAAGGGAGAGAGCTCCATCTATGACACAGGAAGAAGAAAAGAGACGACCCACCTGACGAGACGACCCACCTGACGAAGGAACTCACCTGTAACTTGCCGATGGTGGAGGGCGAGTGCGTTCGTATCCGATACGTTTCTGGGGATCCTGGCGACGTAATGGTGACACTGGGGCGACGATCACGACCCGGCTCCGGCAGTTTCCTTGGGTCGTAGGGCTCACCTGAGGAAGTGACCAGTGTATATTTAAGTCTAGACGATGACGGAGGCGGTGAAGCAGGTGTGGGTGGACGGGTAGGCCTAACTGGGGAGAAACTAGTCAGGTAAAGCAGGTAATGTGACCGATGATTAGGGGATCATCTACAGGAGGAGGATGTGGAAGAAGGGGACGCTGAAGGAGGTAGAGAGACACTAGAGAGCTTGACTGGTGTTAGTGAGACAGGAGAGATGAGGGTAAAGTGAGAGAGAGAGTGAGAGAGAGAGAGAGAGAGAGAGAGAGAGAGAGAGAGAGAGAGAGAGAGAGAGAGAGGGGCAATATTTACAGTTTATGTAAATTCTCTATATAATTCTGACGACATGTTGGAGCCAAGATTTATATTAATAAGTGGAATATATAAATTAGTTGTGTTAATAACCTATAACCCTAAATATAACCTAACCTAACCTAACCTAACCTAACCTAACCTAACCTAACCTAACCTAACCTAACCTAACCTAACCTAACCTAACCATAAATCGTACAGGTGTTATATTGTCTAAAATGTTGTTATAGGAGTTACTTATTTTTATCTGTATTTTCTTATTTATTTGGGGTATTTTTTGACGGTTTATAAATTTTGCTGATTAACTATTCTCTCTCTCTCTCTCTCTCTCTCTCTCTCTCATACATCCCCCTGAAAGAGAGAGACTGTATGTATGTATGTATGTATGTATGTATAAACTACCATACAGTACCTTTAGACGTGAGGCCAGCGTGTGTGTGTCGTCGGGCCGGTTGCCTCCCAACGTCAGATAGTTGCCGGGACACAATCAGCTCCACCTGAGGCTCCTGGCGGGACTCAGCGATAATGTCGTATACTTCCTCGAACGTCTTACCCTGTAGTGACCTTCCGTTCCACTCCAGTACTTCGTCTCCTGTAAGTGGTGGAGTGGGTTAGTAGTGGAGTGGTGGAGTGGGTTAGTAGTGGAGTGGTGGTGGAGTAGTGGAGTAAAAGTAACATACTAAAGTAAACATATTTCTTATTGTTGATGGTCAGGTAAGGACACAGCCACACCTTGGCCGGAAACATAATGTTTTCCTCCTCCATCTGGCTCTTGTATAATCCAGTGGGCCCCTACACACCCCAGATAGCTCCTACACCCCCCAGCTGGCTCCTACACACCCCAGCTGGCTCCTACACATCCCAGCTGGCTCCTACACACCCCAGATAGCTCCTACACCCCCCAGCTGGCTCCTACACACCCCAGCTGGCTCCTACACATCCCAGCTGGCTCCTACACACCCCAGATAGCTCCTACACCCCCCAGCTGGGCTCTTGACACACCCCAGCTGGCCCCTACACACCCCAGCTGGCTCCCTACACACACCCAGCTGGCTCCTATACACCCAGCTGGCTTCCTACACACCTGCTGGCCTTGGCCACACACCTCAGCTGGCTCTTGCCACACCCCAGCTGGCCCCTACACACCTGTAGCGCTGGCTTCCTTACACACCCCGGGCTGGCTCCTACACACCCCAGCTGGCCTTGACACACCCCCAGCTGGCTCCTACACACCCTGGAAGCTGGCCCTGAGCACACCCCAGCTGGCCCCTACATACCCCAGCTGGCTCCTATACACCCAGCTGGCTCCTACACACCCAGCTGGGATCCTACACACCTCAGCTGGGCTCCCACACACCCCAGCTGGCTCACACACCCCAGCTGGCTCCTACACACCCCAGCTGGCCCCCTACACACCCTGAAGCTGGCCTCCTCACACACCCAGCTGGCTCCTATACACCCAGCTGGCTCCACACACCTCAGCTGGCTCCTACACACCCCAGCTGGCTCCTACACACCCAGCTGGCTCCTATACACCCAGCTGGCTCTCACACACACCCCAGCTGGCTCCTACACACCCCAGTTGCCCCCTACACACCCCCAGCTGGCCCCTTTACACACCCAGCTGGCTTCCTATACACCCAGCTGGCTCCTACACACCCTGTGCTGGCTCTCTACACACCCCAGCTGGCCTCCCTACAATACTCCAGCTGGCTTCCTATACACTCCAGCTGGCTCCACACACCCCAGCTGGCTCCTACAGACTCCAGCTGGCTCCTACACACCCAAGTGGCTCCTACACACCCAGCTGGCTCCTACACACCCAAGTGGCTCCTACACACTCCAGCTGGCTCCTATACACTCCAAGTGGCTCCTACACACCCAAGTGGCTCCTACACACTCCAGCTAGCCTTCTACACACTCCAGCTGGCTCCTACACACTCCAAGTGGCTCCTACACACTCCAAGTGGCTCCTAAACACTCCAAGTGGCTCCTACACACTCCAAGTGGCTCCTACACACTCCAGATGGCTCCTACACACTCCAGATGGCTCCTACACACTCCAGATGGCTCCTACACACTCCAAGTGGCTCCTACACACCCAAGTGGCTCCTACACACCCAAGTGGCTCCCATACCCAGATGGCTCCTACACACTCCAGATGGCTCCTACACACTCCAAGTGGCTCCTACACACTCCAGATGGCTCCTACACACTCCAGATGGCTCCTACACACTCCAAGTGGCTCCTACACACTCCAGATGGCTCCTGCATATTCTAACTGGCACATTTATGTCCTACCTGACCCATGTGTGTTCTATCTGGCCCGTGTACTTTCTACCTGGCTCGTGTAAGCGCTATCCGACCTACGTATGCGCTATCCGGCCCAAGTATGCTTTATCCGGCTCCTGTATGTGTTCCAGCTGGCTCAGACATGAAGGAGCCAACAGGCAGCATGAGTCATAGTGGCCCACGCCCGTCTAGACATAGCGCTACCCTCTTACACGCCCATACACGCCGCCTCCTTCCCCTACACGCCCTCTCTCTTACCTACATCCTCTCCCCACGCCACGCCAGGTGAGATACTCTTAATTTCGCGGACCTCTACACGCCCCTACACGCCGCCTCCTCCCGTCCTGCGCCTCTCCCATATCTGTCTAGACACACAGACTGCATGGCGCGGTCTCCTACACATCCATACACGACTCCTCATGTCCCACGCCCCCCCCTAAGCTCGTCTAGACATACACTGCATGGCGCGGTCACCAACAACCATACACGCCTACTTCCCCACGCTCGTCTGGACACAGTACATGGCGCAGCTCACAACACGCCCATATATAAAACAATATAAAATAACAATATATCAACTATATAACAATAATAACAATAATAATAACAATAATAAGAACAATAAGAGTTAATATAGACTAATTAATGAGTAATGTGTTATATATTAGTTAGACATAAAGAGACGTGTTAATGTACATTTCTGAACCTGGAAGAAAATATGTGAGGAAGTGGTGTAAACAAACAGACAGACAGACAGACAGATAGGTCAGGGAAAATGCAATGAGTCACGCGCGCGCACACACCCCCACTGACCTCACACTCCCCACACACTCACCCCCATACACAAACCCCCACACACACACACACCCCACACACAAACCCCACACACTCACCCCCACACCCCTCCCCACACACACACCCCTCACTGACCCCACACCCCCCACACACCACACCCCTCACTGACCCCACACCCCACACACACTCTCACACCCCTCACTGACCCCACACTCCCCCACACTCAACCCCCCACACCCCCCACACACTCATACACCCCTCACTGACCCCACACACCCCCACACTCAACCCCCACACCCCCCACACACTCACACCCCCTCACTGACCCCACACACTCACACCCCCACACCCACCCCACACACACACACCCCTCACTGACCCCACACCCCCACACACTCACACCCTCACTGACCCCACACACCCCACACACTGCACCCCCACACTCAACCCCCACACCCCACACCCCCCACTCACCAGGCCTCAAATGTCCCACGGTGTCAGCAATACTTCCCTTCTTCACCTTCTCTATCAACGCCCCGATCTTGCCACTGTCCAAGATCTTCCCGCCTCCAACCTTCAGTCCGAGGATGGCCGCGCTGGAGGCCGGACCCACCTCACCCTTGACGTACTTGTTGAGGAGCATGTGACCGATCATTCGAGTACCATCTTGACTCGGCTGCCACGACACAGGATG